CATTCTATATAAAAACTGCTGAATTTAGAAGTATTAATGCCAGTATATCGGTTATCGACCATAACAGTGATATTAATATCGGTATCGGCCCAAAAATTTCATGTCGGTGCATCACTAATTTGAATGATTTTAGTGTTGTTCTGATTGCTCTTTAGTGTTATTGCTTTAAATTTTTTATTGTCTTTAGTGTTTTATGCTTTTATTTTACTATAATGTTGCTTTTACGTTGTTTTTATGTGTCTCTGTGCTATATGCAGAACCTTGGGACTCATTGACTTGGGGCAGGAAGGGGCTTTAAAAATAAATAAATAAATTTAATTTCATTGAATTAAACAAGGATTCTACTTTATTCAGGTACCACTCTAAACTAAACGCTATTATTGTGGTACATTATTCCTGGACAAAGTTGATGGTAAATATTAGCTTTGATACCCGCTGAAATGTTCTGGGAATACGCTCCTATAACACATGCACATACACATGGTTCTTGTGTTAAGTGCTTGGGACTGGGGAGGTGAGGGGGCTTCTTTAGTGACAGCTGAGGATCTCCTTTTAGAACGTTTGGGTTGATTTGATGGAAAAAGCGCAGTGGAGGTGGCCATTATGGCAAAAGGTAGAGTTAGTGGAGCAAATATCTGCAGCTCAGTGACCTTTCAAAGTGGATTACACGCTCCTTTAGTAGCGTGGGCGTAAAACCGAGAGGCTAGAGACAGGGAATAACGTGGATAAAAGGTATTCAACACATTATTTTAAACCTCACATCTATGTGATGGGGAGGCAGCTTTAGCAGAGAGGTTGGAGAGGTTTACTGTAACCTAAAGATTGCTGGTTTGCCCCCATGATCAGGCAGAAATAGTTTGTTAGGGCCCAAGGTTTCTTCTGGACCATGTCAGTTGGGTGTTTAATGTCTCCAAATGTCAGACAGCTTCAAATGCATTAACCAAGCCTAGAAATTTGTTCACCAGTAAGCAGAAAGCACAATAAGTGTAGCGTGGCCTGGCTTGTAAGGTCAGCTGTTACACTGGCAGGAAGAGACTGGGAATGAAAGTTTACAAACAATAAAATCTAGGGCTTACCCCGGCTAACTGCTGAATGCCACATAACATCTGCAAAGCTACGCCGCCACAGTCATCGGGTGAGTTTCCACAAGGCGTGTCTCAGAAGTAGGGCTGCACGATATTAGGAAAACCTGCGATATTCGATAACAGTGCTTAATATTGCGATATCGATATTACTCACGATAAATGAACAAATACTAAAGTATGCAGTGTTGATGTCGTCTGGCGTGTGACGTCTGCTCTGGGTTCAAAGCAAACAAAAACTAATGTATGAATTCCATTACAATATAACATTTTTATTATATTATAAAAATATGCAGCTGCACCTTCTACTGTATTAGCAGCAAAACAACAAACTGCATGCATGCAGTTTCTCAGTGACTTTAAAACATCACCTCCACCATAAAACCTTTTCTGATGCTCCAAATACAGAAAAACATCCCTTACCAGGGTTTTTTGAATAAATAAAAAAATCTGAAAATAAGTTTAAATGCTAAATAATAGTTAACATCACTTAAATGCAACAGCAAATTCTCTCATTGCTACTGAACATTTTCTCCACTTATGTGGTTATGATATAAGGCTGTTGCTGTAATTGGGAAGTGATCTGTGCTGGGCCAAACTAGGAGAAAATTAAGATTTTCTGAGGGAAAGAGGAAAACAATTGTCTACCTTTCAGAAGAGGAACTGGCAAAAAAAAAACTACATGGAAAATATATGAAAACCTTTGTTTTTAACACCAAATTGAACAAGTTTACCTAGATCTTAAAAAGCAGCGCAGATGATGAAACTGCAACTATGATTCTGATAACAAGCTAACAAATTGAACTAGCTCCTCTTAAGATAAGCGGCTAGCAGAGCTTCTGACTGACAGTTTATGTGCAGCAGCAAATCAACTATCCTGATTAACAAGATTATAAAAGCTCATAAATGAAAAATCACTTTGATGTGTGGGGGAACTTTTCCAGGCCCTCTTTAGCAGGGTGGGACTGGGAGGAGAGTGCTGCTGTAGCCTTTTAGCTGGAAGCTAACCGGAGCCTGGGGCTAACGGTGGGTTGGTTCACCGGCACGTGTCGGAGTCAGCCCGGTTATTATCAGCTGCTTAACGACACCGAGTGGACTCACGTTCACGTTTGAAAGGGTCTACGTAGGGGGCGGGCGTATTACGTGAAGGGAACCATCTGATTGGCCGCATATCAGAAGGGCTACATTTGATTGGTCAAATAATACTTCCGCGTAAAAAACAGAGCTGGTTTACAAAAAGTTGATGTATGGCACAGATGGAAATGTTTGAACCAAACATTTATCGCCGTTTTTGATGTGCTTTGCGATGGGCCTATCTCACATCCTGTTATCGCGATGATGATAAGTTTTCGATATATTGTGCAGCCCTACTCAGAAGCATCTCAGAAGCGTTGTGTTGTGCTGCTCTGCTACATTTAGGCACCAGGTCTATATTTTATGAGATATGCTTGCAAAACACGTTAAACTCTGCATTTCAGCTTGGTCCAGAATGAGAAAGTAAAAATGAGAGCAGTGTAAAGCATCTGGAAAATTTCAAAATAAAACACACGTAGGCCTGCAAATTTTCTGTTGCATAACTAAAGTCAAGTCATTATCTGTGAAACCTCATTGGTGGATGGAAAATAAACTACAGGCTTTTACTTGCAGCATCTTTCTCCTTGTCCGTTTTCAGGTGAACTGATGAAATCTTGCGTGGTCTTGCAATTTTCCCTGATTTGCAGCCGAAGCGCATCTGAAATGTTCCCAGTAGGAAGGGACACTGAGTTTCTTGGGGGAAACGCGTCTATTACGTTAAGCATCCGGTGGGAAGCCCGGGGAATTGGTGCATTTTTAAAAGGGTTTTGGTTAAACGCTAAAAACGTTACATGTTCGTAGCTGGAAGTCATTCACAGCACACACTGGCAGAGCTAACACGAGATCTGGCAGTTATCTGTGACATCATGCACGTTATTTTCAAGGTTTGATCTCCAAGACTCCGATGTCAGTTTTTAAAACTTACATGAAAGGTGCTAACGTTAGCAACCACAAAACTTCATTAAAGATCTGATCATGACTTCCAACTTTGTTGAAGTTTTGAAGACTTCAGGTTTAAAGAGCTACTCTGTACTTCTGAGAGGCAAGAAGAACGCTAGAAGCCAATTTATCTTTAAAAATGTGTTTGCATATTTTGTCCTAA